GTATCCACAGTAGATCATGGAACCAGTCCCCCATGAATACTGAAGGACGATTGTATTCACTTTGAAATGCAAGTATGCATTTGAGATGTAACATAAAGTGAAACATTAAAATTGTATCAATAGGTTAAAGTGAGATAAAGCAACTACTGATTATTATAAAAACTGTTGATTTAATGTCCAAAACAATTATTAAGAACTTTCAAATACTGAAGCACATAAGGAAATAGATTGACAGTTCATGTGGATGTGGAGAAAGTATATTAGCTTTGTAACTTTATAACTTTGGGAAGAATATGATATCCTCTTTAAGTCAACAATGTATAAAAAATATGTTTTTAAAATATAAAATATGTAGTATAAATTATATAAACATTTTATATGAAGTATAAATTTAAATGTATAACTATATATTCGCATAATAAAGATTACATTATATCACAATTATCATTTTAGAATTGCTTAATACCATTTATAGTACTAAACAACATGCATGCCTTCTTTATAAAAATGTGGTTTATACCAAATTTATTTTTATTATTTAATATCATTCAGGCCATGAATCTCTGAAGAAAAAGTCTTCTTTTGGGATTCTTGCCACCTCAGAATTTCATGAGAAGGCAAATCTCCAAAATTATGTGCAGCTACATCTATAATAAATCATTTTCAATTCAGACAGAACAAAGAACAGACAAGGTACAAAGGAAAAAATTGGGCACATTATGTTCTCACTAATCTAACTTCAAAAGACAGACTTATAATAATACTTTTAAAAGATAATTTCTTATAGCTTTGAGTCTACAGAGACTAAACAAAAGGCTTCTCAGAATAATTGCTATTTCCTGGTGTCTTCAGTAGCTTTTTGGCTGCCAAATAATTGTTTAAATCTGCCCAAGTTATGACTTCAAGGTACAAAACTCCTTCTACAAAATATGCTACTAAAATATGTTTTCCTGAATTGTATTTTACTGTGAATCAATCAGTGATATTATTAAAATATACATGTTTTGTATATCAGATGTTTGGGCATGCAGAAACAAATAGAAGTTGCCTTAAAGTTTGGTATGGTAGATTAATGAAAACTTTAACAATTCTTCTCCTTTATTCTTTATCATCATTTCTGAGTATAGCACAGCAATCCAAGAAATAGTTATGAAATGAAAAATTAGGATATAAAGTTGCCATACAATTGTCATTGGGGAAGAAAGAACAAGCATGGCTAACACCGTAAGCGGCTTAGGAATTACAGATGTATGACTGCTTCATTCACAACTTTTAGCTCATATTTAGATTAGGAATTACAGATGTATGACTGCTTCATTCACGACTTTTAGCTCATATTTAGATTAGGAATTACAGTTGTATAACTGCTTCATTCACGACTTTTAGCTCATATTTAGAAAGAAATTTCAGCACAGTGTAAGGCAGGGACTCTTCAAAAACAAAGTACATGACATACAAAAGATTTTGAAACTCTCTTGTCTCTTTATGCAAGACGTTCAAAGAGGTTGAATAGCAGCTAATACATGCTTTTTAAAAAGCTTCAGCAAAAAAGAAAAAAAAGGGATTAATATTATACTTTGCAGAGAATAACAGCAACAGAGGCCTTACAAGCAACTAATGATTTATTTGCTGGAATGTGCTGAAGAAATAAACCCACTGATATGGCCAGAGAGGAGAAGTTATCCTTCCATGACACCTGATGAAAGACACTACCACCTTTGTGTGGAAATGAAAGCTGAAGTGCACATAAAATTCAAGAGATTACTTTTTTTTTTTAGACGGGGTCTCACTCTGTCGCCCAGGCTGGAGTGCAGTGGTGCAATCTTGGCTCAGTGCAACCTCCACCTCCCAAATAGCTGGGATTCTCCTGCTTCAGCCTCCCGAGTAGCTGGGAACTACATGCACCCACCACCACGCCAGGCTAAGTGTGTGTGTGTTTTAGTAGAGACGGGGTTTCACCATGTTGGCCAGCCTGGTCGCAAACGCCTGACCTCAGGTGATGCACCCACCTTGGCCTTTCAAAGTGCTGGGATTACAGGCATCAGCCACCGCACCCGGCCAATTTTTGTTATCTTAAAGTCCAATTGCATGACTTCATTGCTACATGTTTGGATTCAATGTTTAAGAGGATAAATTTTTAGGGAAATGCAAATCAAAACCACAATGAGATAGCATTTCATACTCACTAGGATGGCTGTAATTAAAAACAAGTGTTGGTGAGGATGTGGAGAACTTAGAAACCAAATACCTTGTTGGTGGGAATGTAAAGTGGTGCAGCCACTTTGGAAACAGTTTAATGGTTTATCAAAAAGTTAAACACAGAATTACCATACGACCCAGCAATTCCTCTTCCAGGTATATATAACCAAGAGAATGGAAAACATACAACCACGCAAAAACTTGTGCATGAATATTCACAGTAGCATTATTCATAATATCCAAAAAGTGGAAACAACTCAAATAGTCATCAACTGATGAATGGATAAACAAAATGCTGTGTATCCATATGATGGAACATCATTCAGCCATGAAAAAGGACAGAGTATACATGCTACAGCATCCATGAAGCTTGAAAACGTGAAAGCCGAACACGAACGGTCACATATTTGATTCCACTTTCAAAAAACGTTCAGAATAGGGAAATCCAGAGACAGAAAGTCAGTTCATAGTTGCCAGAGGCTGGGCGGAAAGGGGAATCAGGAGTAACTGCTGACGGGCTAAGGGCTTCTATCTGGAGTCATGAAAACGTTCTAGATCCGATGGTGATGATGGTGGTACAATCTCGTGAATATACCCTACTAAAAATGACTGAATTGTAGACTTTAAAAGACTTTACAATCCATTTTGAAAAATGTTATGGTATATGAATCATATCTCAAGTTTTTAAGTAGAACAAACTTTTCTCAAGTACAAGGTACTTTTATTTTTCTATTTCTACATATAGATCTGGAAATGTCTGCTTTACATATTATGGGGCTACATTTTTAGAAAACAAGTCAAAATCATTATATCTTTCTCAGGAATTTAATTTCCATTACTACGAGTAACCCTCTATACCTAGTAACACCTTCTGTCGTTAAGTCTATTTGCCTGATGTTAGTACAGTTACTACAGTTCCTTCAGTTAGAATTTGCATATTTTTTATCCTGACTTTCAATCATTCCATCTTTATGTTAAAGGTGTATCTCTTGTAAAACTCAAATATTTATAGTTTTCTTTAAATAATGTCTGACCACTTTTACCTTTTAATTAGAGTTTAGCTCATTTATAAAATTTACTATGGTTGCTAATATATCTGTATTTATTCTACTGTCTTAATATGTGTTTCTACTTGTACTTACTTTTCTGTTTCTTTATCTTCTACTATCTTTTGTCTTTTATTGGTTAGAGGATTTTTGTTTGTTTGTTTGTTCTCACTCTATTTATCCTCCTAACCTTTTTTAGAAAGTTAAAAGCTCTATGTGTATTCTTTAAACATTAAGCTAAGTTTACTAACTATGAATATTCAACAAAGTCTAAAGTTAGTATCTGAGAATTACAGAAATCTTAGATCACTTTTTTGTGATCACATGCCTCTCACTTCACACAGTGTTTTTGCCTGGTCTTAAGAGTTTTATGCTGATGCTACCTCAAGTTAGACATTGGTGCTATTTGTATGGAGTTAACGTTTGTTCATATTCACTCTCACATATGTCAGCATCCTTCTTGGACTCCACATTCTTTCTTAAAAGTCAGACTTTCCATCTGCTTGTGGCATATCTTTTAGAAATTTCTTCTCAACTGGGGTTCCCTGAGAATGTGAAGATGTAATGCCCCAAGGCATCCACAATATGTAATGAGTTAACGTCTCTAATACGCATCCAGATGATACAATGAGAAACTAATCACTGAAGACACTTTCTGCAGTGTTTAATTCTCCTATGGGACTTTGAGAAAGGCTGCTACAGAACATCATTTAGTGGAGATCTTTTGATAACTCTCTTGATTTTTCTGTCAGAAAGTTCTGTATTTTATTTGTTTTTCTTGAAAAATAGTTTTGCTGGGTAAAGAATTCTAAGTTGTGAGCTTTTTTTTCTCTAAGTGCACTGAAAGCATTATATCTTCTGGATAGCATTTTTGCATTCATATTTGGAAAAGACTGGCATACGTGTGGAACTAAGGTAGTAGCAAAAGAGGAGGTGCCGATCAGAGAGACATGATTTCAAACACCTCTTTGAACCTTGGTTTCCCACCTGTAAAATGGGTATGTTGCACGGTTGTTGTTAAGTTTAGATGTTGTAGATGTTACAACTGAAATATAATACGTACTCATGATCATTAGGATTATTAGTTCTGCTTTCCTCCTTTACCCTACATTTTCCACAGAGTTCATAGGTTTGAGGCTACATCCCCAGAGAAAAGAGTTTTATGTAGAATTGTGGAGGTATCTGACAGAAGTTTCCTCCATTGAAAGAGTCATTCAGACTAGTGGGAGAGAAGACAATCTGACATCACATCTCTGTCTTCATTCCAATCCAAACAGAGTTCTCTTCCCTCTGGACACAAGATTACTTACTAATTACTTGAAAGCCCTAGGCACTATATTTAACAGGGTGATAAGATTTGTTTTTAATGCACTGGTTTGAATTTAGGCCAAGTGCTATGTTTTGTATATAAGAAAGTGTGTGGTTCCCAATGGTGCCAGTTTTTTCAAATGGCACCACTGGCTTTTCAGAGTGGTTAGAATATTCACGCATGTGTGGCTAATCTCACTAATACCTACCCACTATCAGGTATTGACTATAGCCAGATAGACAGGGAGTAAGGAGACACAGAGAACCCCATGCTAAGCTTTGTTGTCACACGTGTCTGAAGCAAATGACCAAATTGCTGTTCCTTCTCTGATTAGATGTGACACGCAGGGTCACCTTGTAGACACACAGTTGAAGGGAAATGAAAGACATTGTTCATTGCCCTCTGCTTTCCCCTACTTCACACACACACACACGTGCACACACACACATGTGCACACACACACACACACGCAGAGAGACAGACAGAGAGAGAGGAGGGAGACCGTGAGTTTGCCCATTAGTACATGCAATACTGTCTCTGGCATGAGGAAATCAGTATCCTTACTCTTCCCCAGGCTACAGACTTTTCCCTTCCCTTCAATTGAGTATGGAAGGCAGAAGTGAAACTTGTTTTCATTTTATTCGCATCTACTTAAGGCATGTTTAATTAAAGAATAAGAGCCTGCTAAGGATTAAGCATTTAACTAGATAAATCAGCCGTTAAAGATTCTGAAGCCTTTTTAAAGCCTAAAAATAGGCATCATATAGATAGACTCCAAAATACATAACAATTCTTCTGCTGGTTTTTGTTGTTGTTGTTGTTATTTTCACATTTTTGCTATTGTAAGCAACACCGTGTTTGATAGTCTTAATATAAATCTTATTCCTCAAAAATGACTTACAGATGAACTCCAGCAACCCAAAAAATATGTTCAGACACGGTTTTACAGCATGGGCTTGTCCGTGGATTTGATGTCTGAGCCACTCAGCATCTTCTCAAACAAGATGACCTGAGAAGAAAAGAAAGGCTGACGGTGGGAAAGGTGAAGCCTATTTAGTGCAGGATGGAGAAGACACTGCAACTCACATTTTGATCTGAAAGTTTATGAGATGTCAAGGCAGAGACTGGGCGACGTACCTCGTTGTCTTCCGGACGAAGCCAGACTGCAGGAAGGTACAGTGTTCGCTGAGGCCCAATGTTCCAATACCGCCCAAGGTTCCGCCCATTGATGAACACGAATCCATAATTCCAGTTCTGAAAGGAACGGTGGCTTGAGATTTGGAAACAGGTTCACCTTAGCAAGGTAAAACCTAAGGCACTTGGGGAGTGAGAACAAGACTGAGACACTTTATGGCACTCAAAGGGAGGTGAGTTTAGAGTGGGATATGTTATAGAATTTCTACCTTGCACTCTAGGAACGAAAGAGAAAAACATAAATAGAACCAACCCTCTGATGGTAGGGCTGCTGTTGTTCCTGTTATGTGATATATAATGTCATATATTTTAAAAAGCAGATCTCCTACTTCCAGAAATAAATATCAGGTAATAGTGATGAACACCACTGCTGACAGTGGCTATTAATATAAAAGCTGCACATTTTTAAAAATCTGCTTACAATATAATGAAGAATTATAGGACCAAAATCTAGAAGAAGAAAATGGAGAGACAAGGAGACATCCAGGCAGGTTTCCACTAGAGGCACCTGCTTATTCTGGGATATAACAAAACGGTCTAGCATATACAATTGGAGTCTCTGAAATGCTCCAAATTAAAGGACAAAGGTTTCTGGACTTGATTTCAAATAAAGTAGTCATATGCTACATATAAGAGAAGCATCAAAAACATAAGGTATTGAAAAAATAAAAGAAAAACAATGGCTAAAGATATGTAAACCCTAACCAAAAGGAAGTTGCTATAGCTCTGTTAATATTCAGAAAAATAATACTTTAAGGCAAGAAGCATTATTAGAGATAAAGAGGGACATTTCATGATGGTAAAATTCTTAATTTACCATAAATGTATATACAACATACATAAGGAAGATAAAAGCATAGATACAAAACATATCAGCAAAATTGACAGAATAATAAAGAGAAATAAACAAATTTACAACCATAGTAGGAAATTTTTATACAACCTTTCAACAGTCAGTAGGCAAAGCAAATATCAATAAACATATAAAACATATGAAAGATGATTAACAAAATTGAACTAATTCACATAATAGAACATTGATCTAACATCTACAGTATACACATATTCTTTCAAGTATACCTCAGAATATTTACAAGCTTGATCCTGTGTTTAGCTAGTTTTCACATAAACTTCTCGGACTATAATGCAATTAAGCAAGAAATTGATAACAAAAAGATAACTATAAAATATCCAAATTCTTGGAAATTAAGAAAATCACTTCTTTTTTTTTTTTTTTTTTTTTTTTTTTTTTGAGGCAGAGTCTCGCTCTGTCGCCCAGGCTGGAGTGCAGTGGCGCGATCTCGGCTCACTGCAAGCTCCGCCTCCCGGGTTCCCGCCATTCTCCTGCCTCAGCCTCCCAAGTAGCTGGGACTACAGGTGCCGCCACCACGCCCGGCTAATTTTTTTGTATTTTTAGTAGAGACGGGGTTTCATTGTGTTAGCCAGGATGGTCTCGATCTCCTGACCTCGTGATCCGCCCGTCTCGGCCTCCCAAAGTGCTGGGATTACAGGCTTGAGCCACCGCGCCCGGCCTGAAAATCACTTCTAAATAAACCATAAGTCTAACAAGTAATGACAAAGGAAGTTGGAAAATATTTGAATTCACTGATGATGACAATAAAATAGATAGAAACTTGTAGGGTATAAGACTATCAGCAGATTTTTCAGTAGAAACCTTGCAGGCTAGCATGGAATGAACCGATATATTTAAAATGCTGAAAGAAAAACAACTGGCAATCAAGAATACTACATCCAGCAAAACTGTCTTTCAAAAATGAAGAAGAGATAAAGACTTCCAGACATACAAAAACTGAGGGAGTTCATCACCACTAGACCTGCTTTACAAGAAGTGCTAAAGGAAGTCCTTCAGCTTGAAAAGAAAGGAACTTAAACAGTACCAAGAATCCACAAAAAGTATAAATTTATTGGGAAAGATCATCATGTTTCTCCCCAGCAACAACATGGCCCCCAGAGTGGCCTGCAGCTTTCTGGACAGTGCCACCAGGACATCCAGTGCCTTAGGTTGAATACTACCTGCCAAATGGTACCATCAGTCTACACTATTTCCCTTAATACGAGAAGTACAGCCCTACTATAGCAAAGTTCTGGTCCCAAGGAAGCTTCTCAATGTCCCCAAAAGCACGGAAGTTGTCATTATGTGCAAGTCCTTGTGAAGCATGCGACCGTCAACAATCCGTACAGCCATACGAAGGAAAAGTGAAATTCCAACCTAAAACTTGGAGGTGAAAGAGCAAGAGTAGGTATTTTATACTTCCTAGCAGACTCAAGATTGGCCCTAACCTGCAGGATAAATTGCAGACCTTCTCTTTTGTTGGGCTTAATTTGCCTGCCAGCTCCTTACAAAACCATCTTTAAGACATTCTAAAATGCCCACACCAAGGTCAACTTGATACCTTCAGAGAAGCACCGACACGTGAGGTGCTCATCTTTAGTATCAGCTGTTTTTACGAAACCTTCATTATTTTTTAGATAGAATTTGTACTTATGATTAAAATGTCAAGCTAACACGGCAACCCTAAAGCAGCAACTATCCAACTAATAAGACACTAAAATGATTCATCTCTTTCTATATAGACATCACTTGTCTTACTACAACTTATTTTTTCTGTATTTCAATATGAACCACTACCCATATAATGGAAAGTATAATATAAAAATTAATAATACACTAATATGAAATATGGCTTATAATTATGTACATTCTGAATTCTTGCTTTGAAGAATATAATTTCTAAGTCATGAAAAAAATACATACTAAATTTATTCTTATTCTATGTAAAAAAAAAAAAAAATGGTATGGGAGTCATTTCCGGTATAGGCAACTCCATAAAGATAATAAAAAGATTGCTATGGCCGGGTGCAGTGGCTCAAGCCTGTAATCCCCGCACTTTGGGAGGCCGAGATGGGCGGATCACGAGGTCAGGAAATCGAGACCATCCTGGCTAACACGGTGAAACCCCGTCTCTACTAAAAATGCAAAAAATTAGTCGGGCCTGGTGGCCTGTAGTCCCAGCTACTTGGGAGGCTGAGGCAGGAGTGAACCCAGGAGGCGGAGCTTGCAGTGAGCCGAGATCACGCCACTGCACTGCAGCCTGAGCAACAGAGCAAGACTCCATCTCAACAAAAAAAAAAAGAAAAAGATTGCTGTTGCCAGGGGATGGAATAAGAGGAAAATGGGGAAGTAATTGCCAAATGGTTATAGGGTTTCCTTTAGAATCATGAAAATGCATTGGAACTAGAGATAGTGGCTGCATGGCCTTGTGAAGGCACAAAATGCTACTTAATTGTTCACTTTACCAGAGCTAATTTTATGTTATGTAATTTTACCTCAAAAAGTCTTTTTAAAACTTATGAGATGCAACCAAATCCATGCTTAAATGATGATTAATAACCTAAATTCATATAATTAAAAAGAATAAAGACTAGAAATCCATGATCTAAGTATCTATGACATTATAAAAATAAAGCAAATTAATCCTAAACTAAGAAATTGAATAAACAAAATAATAAAGATAATGACACAAATTAAAGAATCAAAAAACAAATACGTAACATAGTAAGAGTCACAGCCAAACACTGTACTTTGAACGATTAATAACACTGATAGTGTTCTCGTGAGAATCATCAAGAAAAAGAGCGCATCGGTATCCTGTAACAATGACAAGGGGCATGTGACTACCAATGATCTCGACATCAAACATGAAGATTTTAAAGGCAACATATTTGAAAATTTCGATGAAATGGGAAAATTTCCAGAAAAATATATTTCTCAAAGCTAACTTTACAAGAAACAAAATCCGAATAGTACTTTAATCTTTCAATAATTGAATCCACACTCGCAAACTTTCTCAAAAAGAAAATGCCAGCTCTAGAAGGCTTCACTAATGAACTCCATTACATGTGTAAGTGGTACTTGTCTTATACAAATTTCCCTTCCTACATCCTGTAGGAGAGCCCTAAACCTGGCACCAAAACCTGACAGAGAGATCTCAGTCATGAACATAAACACAAAATAAGTCTTAACGATTTATCATAGACAAGCCCCAGATATAATCCAAATGTCCAGAGAAAGTAAAATGGTTAAATAAATTATCACGTATTTACTAAAGGAACCCAGTACAACAGTGAAAAGGAACAAATCACTGCACAATCGATAAATGGCTGAACCTTACAACACTGAACAAAAAAAATATAAAAAAAAAAGATGCCCTGTATGATTCCATTTACATAAAGTCAAAATAGGAGACACTGGCCTAGGGTGTTGGAAGTCAAGGCAGTGGTGACCTTTGCAGAGAAGGGGGCAGTGGTTGGGAGGGGTGCTAACAATATTTTTAAATTTCAATGATAATTATATGGTGTTCACTTTGTGATCATTTGTTGATCTGTACATTCACGTTTTGTACGTTTATGTTATCTATGTGTATTTATACAGAAAAAGATATTCTAGGTAAAAACTAACCTACCAACTCACCCCACACAGAAAAACAAAGTGGCAGAATACACGGTACAATTCTATTAGTGTCAAAACAATTGTGTATGTGTGTGTTCAGGCAAAGTTATATACAAAAATATACCACTGTGGGCAGTGTTGAGTTCTGAGAAGCAGAGACTAACTGGAATGGGGGTGGGTGCAGAGGGGAACGTCATGCTCTGCTCTCTCCCCCTTGCTATTTGTTTGAATTTTTAATTGTGTTTTGATGTGTTATTCTCTAAATAGTGATAAATTAGGAAGACTGATCAATGTTGGAATGCTCGGTTGGAGATGAGGAAGAGGAGGAAAAGAAAGGGAAGTATTCCTCCAGGAACACTGGCTTTGCTCCAGAACCCTTTAAAAATAAAATCGGTGTTTGGAACACCAGCGCAGCAGAGGGCGTCACCTACCAGCAGGCTCAGGAAGGTGTCCTTGGGAGAAGGGCCAGCCTTCAAGGTCCCACGGTAGAAGGCCGGGCCCTGGTGGCTATCTGGGACAGGCTTCCAGGTGGCAGAGCGGAGCCTGGAAGGAAGGCCAAGTCATGGGGGAGAGGAAGCCCCTTCCCAACCCAGTTCCCAGTGCCCACCCCAGGTGGCTTGGGCCGAGCCAAATATTCTGTTTCAATGAGCTAGCATAGACTAGACACGCTAGACACGTTAAGATCGGAATCAGGACACTTGCTCCAGGGCCCTAGTTCTGATGCCGCAGTGCCCGACAGCCTGGAGTAAATCACTCAGTCTCTGTATCTCGGACTCTTCATCTGCAGTGAGGAATCTGAAATCTCTGAGTTCCCTGATCACTGAAGTGTGCACGGGGGGCCAGCTGGAGCATACCTCTCAAAGAAGCTCATTTTCATCTCCAGGGAATAGATGGTAAAGCCCTCCAGGGAAGAGTTATTGATGCTGACAGATCCAGTTATTCCTGCAGATGCAGATGGGAGGCAAGAAAGAGAATATGAGCCAGGACTGGACTAGCATCTGGGACAAAGCAATGCAGACATGTATGTGCCTTAGGACAGGGGCTCAGCCAGGAGGGCAAATGTTTGTCTCACCTGCTTTGACTGAAGGTTTTACCTACACGTTTCCACACTACCAAGCAAGTTCCCCCACTTAGTACTGAACTTCTCCTGAAATTCCCAAAAGGAAACTGGCCCTGCTCCCGGACAAGCCAGCACCGAACGCACTGGCTCCACCCTCTGGCCCCAGAGATCAGAGAAGGCAAGACAAGGGCGAGGGGCGGATTTTGCATCTCCGCTCCCAGGACCTGGGTAGCCCACTACTGAGGGGCTGGTTTTCCCCCCCAACCCCAGTGCGTAGCCCGGGTCTTCGGTTTTGAGTAACTGAGGAGAAGCCACAGCCAGAGCCCACCTTTCTGCTCATTCTGTATTTGCCAGGAAAAATTGACTCGTCCTTGATTCTCCACCAGGATCCTCAGGTATCGGCAGTCCTGCTGAGACAGGCCAGGTCATGGAGACCACGCGCCATGGAGGGCGTCTACCCGACAACCCATTTTTTTGCTGAGTTCCACATGGAGAGACACATGGGAGAAAAGGAGGCCCCAGAGCCCAGCAGTCTTCCCTGTCACCTAAGGACTGCCTTGTGTTCCCACAGTTAATCTTCCCTTTCCCTCTGCTGACCCTATTGGGAAAGGCAGAGACTCAGCTGTGCCTCTAACCAACCCTAAAAGCTCAGAAACCCAACCAGGGGCTGAGGACAGGCTCAGGGCTTAGTGAGGAAACCCCCTCCCTTCCAGCATGTGGTAGCTCCTCAGGGACCAGGGCCTGGGGGGCACTTAGGCTTCCAGACCTGCACACTTCCTGCGGCAGCCCCAGGTGAGGAGCAGTACCAACAGCAGGGGTGGAGAAGGGAGGCTGACTATCTCAGGACCAGGCTCCGTCTGCATTTGAGGGCGGTCAAGGGCATCACCTGGGCTCTCAAATTACATACCCTGAGTTCAGGAATGTGCAGGTCCTGATTATTCTCATTCAGAATCCCTATCATTGTCTCATCCAGAAACACCTGCAAAAGAAGAGCCGGCATCAGACTGCTAGGCCCCCTTGAAGAAAGGGAAAACAGAGGCCGTGGTTTTGGCAGAAGGAGGTCAGTATGAAGGCAGGGACCAGCTGTGGTGTTCACAGATGGCATGAAGCTGCGTGGAGGCCCCAAGAGACTCTCGGTGGTGATAAAGCAGAAAGCAAGTCTATTTGGCCTGACTTTTTAGTCCCAGTGCCTCCCATATAGTAGGTCATCAAACAGCAACGTGCACCTCAACCAACTACCCTGCCCAACAGCATGGGGAGGTGATGCATTTTGCTTCCCACACAGGGAGCCTGTTGGCCCTACCTGTGCCATGTCATGAGCGTGGGCACAGAGGCGGCCTCCGGAGCAGATGGACTTCTCATACAGGATAAAGCCGTAGGACTGGCCACTCCCATTGTTTATGGGAAGGTTCTCCATGTTGACGGGCTGATGGGACCTGACTGGCTATGAGAAGAAATGGCAGGAACAGAAGCCCGAGGGCTGAGAAGTCAGGATCCTCCTTTCTAAGACCCTGTCATGTGGTGTGGTCCCACCTAATGGTCCCCAAGGGTTCTCTGAATGGGAAATGATAAAACAGATGGCATGTGATACTGCTCTGTGCTGACATCTCCCTGCCCAGGAAACTCCGGGAACTGCAGGGCACAGTGATGCAGGAGCAATCGCTATCATCCTAAGAACTGATTAACAGAGGAAACAGATGGGGCAAAGGGGCTCGTGCCTGTAATCTCAGCACTTTGGGAGGCCAAGGCAGGTGGATCACTTGAGGCCAGGAGTTTAAGACCAGCCTGGCCAACATAGTGAGACCCTGTATCTACAAAAAATTTAAAAACTTAACTGGGCGTGTTGGTGCCCTCCTGTAATCCCAGCTACTCAAGAAGCTGAGGCAGGAGGATTGCTTAAGCCCAGGAGTTCAAGGCTGCAGTGAGCCATGATTGTGCCACTGCGCTCCAGCCAGAGCCATAGAGCAAGACCCTGTCTCAAGAAAAAGAAAAAAAGAGTAAATAAATTGTATTCTAAAATATTGAAGTCTAGCAATGAATTATGCACCAAGCAAATGTTTATTTCACTAAATTAAATTTAGTTACATTAAATAAATGTAGTTTCTTTAGTGTACCAGTCACTACCTTTTCTCCAAATTAGCGATAGCAGAGGTAAAACCAATGTGAACTCAAGGGCTACAGTTTCAGTTCCAAGCAGCTTTCACCTTTCTTCAAAATGAGACAGGAAGGCTGATGGAAAAGGAGGAGCAGTGACCGAGGAAGTTCAGGCCCAGCTGCTGGCAAAGCGGGGGCAGAAGCTGTTCTCCCAATCCCAGCTCAGCAGCTTTTCCTATGTGGATTTCATAAGGACCACGCAGTCTAAACAAGAGCATCTCCAGACAGGTTCATCTGAGCAGGAACCCAGGATCCTCTAACATCCTGCTGCCCCTCCCCCGCACACTGACTCCAAGGACAAACCCCTTCACAGTCCACCCAGAAGGAGGTGGTGGCTCTTGTCCCCCAGTTCTAAATTTGAATGAAATGCAGAGGATTTGTTTTCCCACTTCCTAATAAAACAGTTTCCTGAAGGAATCCCTGCCCCATCCCTCCAATGGCCACTCCACCTCCTGTGGCCAAGCAGCACTCACCTCATTTAAGTAGGATAGGGCATCCCACAGCGGGAGGTACGACGACGGTCTCATGGGGGGATACACAGCCTTGGGAGTAAGTTTGGGTACTTGGGGCAGGGGAGTTGCTGCAATGGAGATGGGGCACAGGGCAAAAAGTGCCTGAGATGACCACTGCCTTCTCTAAGCCCCCCATGCCTATCCAGCACGGCCTTTGCTTTCATATTCGGGATTACTATGTCATCCACGGTACTGAGAGCTTTACAAAGAGTAACTCAGTCTTCACAGTCATCACAGGAGACCAAGGTTACTACCTTTATGTTTCAGTGAAGAAACTGAGGCTTATAAAATGCTTAGAAACCCTTATTTCAAAAATCACAGACTTTAAGCCCAGGGTTCGAAGTTAAGGTTGCCGTTGTTCTCGGGAGCTCGGCGTAACTGCTGCCCACAAGGGACCCGCGCCCTCCTCACTTTTCCACAGAACGGAGACTCCTCATGGGGAGGGCTGGCCCGTAAGTTAAATGGGTGCTGAGTACCTGAGACAGATTCCAAGAGTTTTTGAAGCTTGAAATATTTTTCTGTGTAATCTCCAGCCTCCGTGAGCACAGCATCATAGTCTGCAAGACACCGGGGCCAGTCACCGGCCACGCAGTCTCCGCGGCAGGCCCTGTTTCAGCACCGCCGGCTGGAGACGGCCAGGGCCACTGAGAGTGAGAGAGAAGGACGGCACCCTCCATCCCACGTGAGTGTGTGAGGCCAATCTAAGGACACTTCCCACAAGTCTTCCTGGGACCCCGAGGCTGCCGTGACACTGGGCGTGCCCCGATTTCACTTTCTAATGCAAACGTGTTCAACCCACAGCTCATGGGCCACAGACGGCCCAGGACAGCTTTGAATGCAGCCCAACACAAATTCATAAACTTTCTTAAAACGTTTTGCACTTTTTTAAGCTCATCAGCTATCATTACTGTTAGTGTATTTTATGTGTGGCCTAAGACAATTCTTCTTCTTCCAATGTGGCCCAGGGAAGCCAGAAGAGTGGACAGCCCTGCAATGGATACTCTTTTCTTTGTTCAGCTGGTATTGCCCGGCCATGCAGGTCTGTGCCTTTACGGCAGTCGCCGTTCCTACCCTGCCTCTCTTCAGGGGTTCAAGCCAACAGGGCATTATACGAGATGCGTGAAGCGGAGCTCTAAGTCCTAGAAAGCCCTGTCTACTGCAATGACAGGCTGTTGGGGCATTATGAACATACAGAAGGAAGGAAAATAGATAGGAAAATCCTCAGTACTCAGCATAGATTAGAGGTCAAGAACCCAGTGACGCCAGAACAGGCTTCCAGAGCCTCCTCTGTAAAGCCCTAGCACCGCCCATGCTGGAGAGACTACTGCACCGGCAGACACTTGCCATAGCTGGTGACAATGCCAGTGTGCTTCCCGAAATTTGTGGCCCCATTCATGAAACCAAAGTTGGTTCCACCATGGAACATATACACATTGAAGGAGATCTCATATTTGATGAATTCAGACACAGCACGTTCAACCTCTGCAAAGGGGAAGACGAAAACATAGAGAATGTTAGAAATTGAGAGGAGAAAGAAGTCTCTGGCAAACTCTTATCATTTCCAACCCCACTCCGCAATCAATTACAGTAACTCCTCGCTTCACAGCTGTATACATTCTTGGGAATGGAGACTTTAAGTGAAATAATATAAAACAAAACCAATTTTTATCTCAATTTTAGAATGAAACGATGTTGAAGAAGATGGTATTACATGAGGATGTGCTGTGCATCATTTTTAAAGTTTCCAAGAACCTGCTGATGACGTTAAAGACCTACTGCAAATGTGTTATCACTCCACCTCTACAAAGATTCCAACAAAGAAATAGGCAGAATTGGCCAGAACTACTCTAGGACACCAAATCCTATCAATCCCAAGAGATTTTTGAACTTTTTTTCCAACGTATCGACATAATTTGACTCCAACCGACATCTATTAAATAATACCCTAAGAATTCTCATGTCACTTACATATCTAATTTTCCTTAAATTTTTTGAAATCATACTTAGTATACCCTCATTACTACCTTCCAGTACAATGTTTCTGGGAACACTGACTTGGAAACACTGCAATAGTCCACGAGTGGTTGCTGTTAATCTTTAGTCACAAAAACTTCCATTTTTTACTGTGTTTATAAACAGCTACTACCATCTCTCCACTGGCCACAGTGGGAAGGAGGAGGTTAAAAGTCATTCAGAGTGGGAGTCAATTCTGGCTATGCTCTTTACTATTTGTATGACTTGGTCAACCCATTTTCTTTCTCAATGCCACTGCTTCCTGATCTGTTAAATGAATGTATTAATTCCAACTATATCATGGGACTGATGAGAAAATTCATTGATGAGGTAATATATGTGGAAAAAAGGCACAGTGCCTGCCATACAAGAGACCAGAAAACTGTTATTTGGTGGTGGTGGTGGTATTGTTGCTGGCATTATTGTTGGTGGTAGTGATGGTATTATTGTTGGTGGTACTGGTGGTGATAATGGCATTTTCTCTTGATTTTTTCTATTTTTCAACCCAAAACAGGCTTTTCTCAGTCCCCAAGTATTTTTCAATATTTTTCTATACTTCAGATACAAGTGGGCTTGTTTTCATAATAGCTCTTTCAAAATATCTTCTGTAGACACATATGGTTATTAAGTAAATGACTGCCAGGCATTGCTCTAAGTGGAAGCACTTAATCCTCACACTAGCCTCATGAGGTCGGTTTTATGATAATCTTCACGTTTGGATGAGGTCACTGAGACTTAAAATGAAGGAAGCCTGCATGAGGTCCCATGGCTAGCACTCCAGAGCTGGGATTAAAACCTGATCTCTTTGGCTCCAAGATCCATGCTCTTGGCCATCGCTGCATGTTGTCCCCTAACTATTAATGCTTAGCTGACAATGCCATCGACAGAGCCTGTGCACTGCTAGAGATGATTAATGTTCCACCTTCCTCAGACGTCACATTTTCAGAGAACCTTCGGTGACCACCTAACCTTACCTGGGCAGGTCTCTCTTCTGTCTTTTCTATCACTGCACCCTGATTGTTTGCTTCAAAGTATCAGCCAAACATGGAACTATATATTGATTGTTTTACTCTGTAATGATCTGTGAACCTCACTCACTTATACTCTGTTGGGGGGGGGGTGGGAACCATGTAATTTCTATCCACCAGAGCATCCTCAGGGCCTGGCTGAGTGCTTGTATACAAAAAGTTGCATGAATATCTATGGCTGATCAAATGAATCAATTAGCAGAGAACTGTGTGAATGAGTTCTCACGGGACCCGGGGCCATCTCTTCCTGGAGTCAAACACTGCAAAACACTCACCCTTTGCATCTTTAACATGGTGCTTATCTCCCCATCTGTCGAACCAGCCAACCCAGTATTCCATAACCAGAAGGGGCTTATCTCTCTAAAAACAAACCAAAACAAATACTAAGTCTGGCAAAAAACAAAAAAGAAAAATCAGAAAACCTGAATACAATAGATAAGAACTTAAGGAACTCATGCTTTTCTCCCTTTCCCCAATTCAGAGCTTTCCCTTTTTGATCCATTATTTCTCCCCCCACCCCCTGCCCATTACCCCTTGGCCGTCATTCACAGCTCTGGTTCCTCTACTCCTAAATGTCCACGGTCTTTGGCTTCATGTCTTCCCCACTATACCTGCAAAGCACCATCAGCCATTTCAACCCTGGCTCACTCAAGGCAGGTGTTGCAAGAATGAGTTTTGGATACACAAGGACCTGACCGCAATTCCTTATGTAGAAACTCAGATTCCACAGGCTTTCAGCCTGACACCTGCACTCCACTTCCAGCCTAGCATTTTCAGTGCTGCTGAAGAATGTAGGTTCTGTTTTTAAAAGGTGACACCTCCTCCACAGTAGGCCTGGCTGCTGCTGTGCTGTGGATATTAAACTGGAAGATCGTAGCTGAGCTTCTCCTGGGTGATATGTCAGCCACTCAGCATGCATTCTCCACTGCACTCCTGGAGTCCTCTAGCATATTGCTGCTCTAAGCCCAAAGAGTTGTCAGCCTAGGACTTTTGTTAGCTGCTCCCTGAATTTGGATTATGATGTTTTCCAGATCCTATGTTCTCTTCTGCCTTGGTTTCACTTCTCATTTCATCCTTCAAACACTTCCATAGAAAGGATGAGTGGAAAATAAATATTCTGAGTCCTTACATGTCTGGCTATCAACACAATTAATATTTAGACTGGGTATAAAATTCTAAGTTAAAATTCATTTAGCCTCAAATTTTAAAGGCATATGCCATTGCTTCCTATTATCCAGTATTTTACAATCCTATGCCATTCTAATTATTTTTGCTTGGTATGTAAGCATGTGGTTTTTCTCTCTGTAAGATGCTAACTTCACAATTTAGGTCTTTTTCATCACTTACTGTGCTTACCATTTGAGATATGCTTTTTATCTAGATGTACAGATACTTCAGGTAAAGGAAATTCTTACGTTACCTGCAATTTCCTTTCCTCCATGCTCTTTGTCCACTCTTTTTGCAACCAGTATTAATAAGACGTTGGGTCTCCTACAATAATCCTGTAAGACATTTATCTTGTCTCTTTTATGTTTTGTTGGCTTATACTAATAGTAATATTAGGAAATTTTATCATCTTTACCTTCCAACTTCTATATTTAATTTTTAATTTCAAATACTAGATTTTTTAATTTCAAACAGTTTTTTTGGTTCCCTGATTGTCCCTCTTAACAGCCCACTCTTGTTCGTGTATAATCTTATTCACATCTCTTTGCATATTAATAAGCCTTTTTACTACTCTATTCTGTTGCCTGAATTAACTCCATGTTCCCTGATTTCCATTTTCTTCTTTATTTGTAGTTTAATTATTTTCTCTTTGTGAAATTTTATTAAGTAAATACAGATCCTTAATTTTCCATTTGTCCTCAAGAGGAAAGACTGACTTCTGGTGTTAAAATTGAACTGTGGGTTTGATATTCTCCTCTTGGAAATCTTCCAAATCAAAACAAGGACTGAGAAATGGAAACACAAACAACATCCTCTATGGAGCTAAGAGGCATCCAAAACTTCAAAATATAAATCAGGAGGAAGAAGTGCAAAGCACTGAAGGTCTGTCAGGGGTTCAAAAAACAGAGCGAGAAGTGCTCTTTGTCGAAGATTTTAGGGAAGACTCACAGCACAAATTTCTCCCAAGTAAGAAGCATACTCTATAGTGCAATACCAGCCATTTACTATCATTTACAGAACAGGGTGCGCAAGCTGGTGAAGGGAATACACTTTACATAATTCAATGCGTCAGAAGCTTAGAAGGACAAAATTATTGGAGAATCACAGATAAGAACTATAAGGAGGAAGAAGTTGCGCTTGTGAGGTATCTGAGAGCACTCCTGCAATCTATACTGGCTCCCTGGGAGGACGGAGAAAGCAAAAAGGAAGATGGGTAAAGACAAGAATTCATCCCTGCCCACAGCAGGATGCCACTAAGATATATTGTTAGCACAGTCACATGAGTCCTTCAGCCAATAAGAATTCATCTCCATCAAAGACAATAATAAAAAAGAAACAAGAATAGAATCTACTTTTAAAATTCTAACGAAAAAGAGTTTTTTTCTTTTTTAACGGGGAAAGAAATTAGAGGAGGAACACCAAAAACTTTCTATAGCATAGGTCAAAATTGTGACCCAAAAATATTGTTATAAAGTTGAAAATCCCAATGAAACAATCACCTCTATAAATGGAGAGCATAAAAAGAGAACTAAAAGTACTCAAGGAAGACATGATAAGAAAATATAAGGAGCTAAAATATGACCTGGCAAAGATTTTTTTAAGACAGATAAAATAGAAAATATTAAGTCCAAACTGGAAGCAGCTAAAAGAAAAATAAACATTGTGAGAGACATGAAAAGAAAAGAAGTGAAAAGTTAAAACGAACAGAGAGTAGAAAGAATGAGAAAGAAATGGATGCAGGAGATGCGAAAGGAAGACAGAAGAATTTTGCATTACACATAACTTGTATCCCTAAAGAGAATAAACCAAAGGCCGGCCGCGGTGGCTCACGCCTGTAATCCCAGCACTTTGGGAGGCCAAGGCGGGTGGCTCACGAGGTCAGGAGTTCGAGACCATCCTGGCTAACATGGTGAAACCCCGTCTCTACTAAAAATACAAAAAATTAGCCGGGTGTGGCGCCTGTAGTCCCAGCTACTCGGGAGGATGAGGGAGAAGAATGGCGTGAACCCGGGAGGCAGAGCTTGCAGTGGGCCGAGATCACGCCACTGCACTCCAGCCTGGGCGACAGAGCGAGACTCCGTGTCAAAAAAAAAAAAAAGAAAAGAAAGAGAATAAACCAAATAAAAAAAAATTTAAACATATTTAAAGATATAATCAAAGACTTACAATTTCCAACAATCATGATCTATGTTATTTGGACCAACCCTCTCACTGAGGATTTTTACAAAGTTAAATCAAATATAATATCACCATAGATACAGCTGAAAAGAGAATTCGTGTACATGAAAATAAATCAGAAGAAAGTATCCAAATAGCAGCATAAGTAGACAAAAAAATGTACAAACTAAAGAGATATACACCACATTTGAGAAGGTTTAATGAATTTAGCTGGAATTCCAGGATGAGAGGAGTGAGACAACGGCGCGGAAGCAATGTTTGAAGAACTACCAGCTGGGAATACATACATTCTAGAAGCCCGACAAACTGGAATAATAAATAAAAAGATATTCAGAAAGAGACATAGATCACCTGAAGAAAATAAAAAAGAAAACAAAAAATCTTAGCAATAAAGGAGAAAAAAAAAATGCGTGACAGACGACCTCTCCATAACAGCAGGGAGGTTAGCAGACTGTGGGCTGAAAGAAAACTGCCACATAAGAATTCAGAACCAGTGAGAGACTGAAGCCAAAAACAGAGTCTGCCATAAACAGACATCACTAAAGGATATATTTCAAGCAGAAGAAAATTTTATATCCTGAGCAGAATCTCCAGGATATAAAAAATAATAAATAGCAAAAAGATAAATATTGGGCTAAAACTAAATGAATATTGATCGTATAAAACAAATATATAACATTTTTAGAATTTTAAAAAGATAGAAATCAAATACAAGAGTCAGCGTGCTTGCTCTGAGACACTTGTACCATCCAGGCGGAGAGCAGAACTTGAGACTGCAGGGGATTCCGTCCTTACATTAAAATTTCAAGGATGACTTTTAAAAGATCAAAAACAGACTCTGTAACTCCAGAATGATATAGGAAAAAACAGAAATTGATTTTTTAAAATAGTGGAATCCATAAAAAGAAGCCAAGATTGTAAAGAAAAAGAAAAGAAACATTTAAAAGCACATAATCAGATGGCAGATTTGACTTCAGTCTAACAAGAATTACATGAAATATGAGTGACTGAGAGCTCCAAATAAAAGTTTGTGTCAGACTAAAATAAAAATATTCAACTAATTTCTGATCTCTGATAAGAGAGATATCTAAAGAAAGATGTAGGGCCGGGCGCGGTGGCTCAAGCCTGTAATCCCAGCACTTTGGGAGGCCGAGACGGGCGGATCACGAGGTCAGGAGATCGAGACCATCCTGGCTAACATAGTGAAACCCCGTCTCTACTAAAAAAATACAAAAAACTAGCCGGGCGAGGTGGCGGGCGCCTGTAGTTCCAGCTACTCGGGAGGCTGAGGCAGGAGAATGGCGGGAACCCGGGAGGCGGAGCTTGCAGTGAGCTGAGATCCGGCCACTGCACTCCAGCCTGGGCGACAGAGTGAGACTCCGTCAAAAAAAAAAAAAAAAAAAAAGAAAGAAAGATGTAGAATTACAGCAAGATTAAAAACCAAATGAAGATATAGAAAATGATACACCATTCAAATATTAATCAGAGAGGTCTGGCATGGCAATATCAACGACAGACAAAAGTGATCTTAAGACAAAAAGCAATACTGCATACAAACAGGATGACGCCCTAGTGATAAAATGTCACATCCATAAAGACAAAACAAGTCCAAATTTACATAGCCTCAAAATACATCAAGCAAACTTGATAAATTTGCTAAAGTACAGGTAAAATACTAAGGACTACTGGTAGCAATATGCAAATCTGCAATTACGATAGAAATATTAACACATCTCTTTCAGTGACTAATACAACCAGCCAAAACAATCAATTGGAAATAGAAAATTAGAATAACACAATAAATAAAATTGACATAGAACTTAAACAGAATACTGCACCCAGTGCCACAAAATACATTCATTACAAGCACATAGGGCATTTACCAAAATTGACCATTGATAGGACATAAATACAAACAAAATTAAATATAAAAAAATAAAGAATCACACTTAAAAACTGAAAACAAATGAATCTAACTCTACATCAAGTTGGTAAAATAATTACATAAAACAAAG